GGGACTACTGACGTGGTTAGGCCCATAAAGGCCATCGCCCACTACGAACAACCCAAGCCCATCACTTAGAGCCCAATACACAACCCAATTGATGAGGTCCAGAACAGCTGGAAACCAACATGACACGAAGGACCAATAATACTCAGGCATGCGGCAGGCAAAGGGCAAGCCACATCAGTAGACAAAGATCTGCAAAGTTATTGCCACTGCACATCGCCATTAATGCAGCTCCTCACAGCATTTGTTACGACAATACCTCTCCGTCGGGACAGCACGCCCTCACCCTGAACAAGGTAAGCTACAGCATAGACTTTTGGCCAAGGTGACAGGTCGGAAGGAACAACGAAATGATTACCAAAAGATATAAGCAAACGTTGAAGACAAGAAGAAGGTTAAGCTTTCTATCTCTAATTCATATCTCTACATTTCCCTTCTCTCTCTCTAACTTGCTCGTCGGAGGGTTCGCTGGGGGACACCCCGTTTTCCGTTGAACTCCTGTGCAGGTTCTCAGGTGAATTTGACCACTCAGATATTGACTCGAGAAGTGTGGGTCAGTCCAACCTGTTCTACCAAGAATTTGTTGTATCATCATATTTTATTTTTAAAATATATTTTTTGGAAAGATAAGTATTGTTGTCTTGGGGCACGAGGTTATGAAATTTGGACATTGACTTCTTTGACCAATCCGTCATTAAGAAGCCGCCACTGATCCCACGGTTCCAAGATGGCAAATTGGTGATCATGTCAGAGTTAACGTGACCCACCAAATTCATATGTTTTCATTGTTTAGTACTTAAGTACCCTCTCAGCAATTATTTTAATTATAAATTTATTTAGATAGTTGTTAGCCATAATTAGTCATAATTATCAGCTGTTTTCCTTGACTATTGAATAGGAATGGCAATGGGGGGCAATGGGGTGGATATTAATTCCCCATCCATGGATACCCACAGGGTAGGTTATCCATTGCCATCCCTACTATTGAATTTATTTTGATTTTTTTTAAACGCTTTACAGCCTTATAGTTTACTTTAAATCTTACCTTGATTTTTCATTTTTTAGTTAATCCTATATATTTAGGGTTAAATTGTAATTTCAATATTTTAAAATTCCCCTATTCTTTTGTAGAACCAAATAGTATTAAGGTAGTGTTTGTTTAGAAGAATTCAAGCATAATCCATTTGGACTAATAGTCCGTTTTTTTATTCAAAAATTTTGCACCGAATTAATAGTCTTAAATCTATGGGATTCTTCTATCCCATAAGGGGGTGGGACACAATCCATAAGATAATGAGATTATGTAATGAAATTACATTTTTGACCCTCTACTATTTAATATCTTTTTTAAAGTAAAATTTATTTATTAAATTATTTATACTTAATAAATTTATTTATACCTAATAAATTTTATTTATTAAATTATTTATTTTAATAATCATATGGTGTTAATTATACTTAGTAAAGTAAAATAAAATTTAAAAATCTCAACTACAAATTAAAATAAATTTATGTAATTTTTATTAATATTTAATTTATTTAATTTTTTAAAAGTTCTAGTAAAAAAAATTAAATAAAATTTATAATTCAGATTTAATATTCCTATTATTTAGTAAATAATTCAAAAGGGAAAATAGTCTTTTGAGCATTTATTCTTCTCCATAATATCCCAAATAAATATAGAATTCAATAGAATATTCCAATCCAGACATCTAATTTCATGACTAAACAAACATAGAATACAAATCCAGTCTAATCAAATAGTCGGGGATAATATATCCCACGACTAACAATCCGGTGGATTACAATCTCCCTTTATCCAATGTGCACTTATGGGTACCTGAACCCTTTTCTATTTCTTTTTCTTTTTCCTTTTTTCTTTTTTTTTTAATTTTTTTATTTTAGAAATGTGTTGTTGGACTTTCTTTTTTAATTAATGTTATAGATAAATAGATTTTTATTTGACTTTTATGTTATTGGATATAAAATCAGTGCAGCCCAATCTGAGATTCATTTTTATTTATTTATTTATGTCTAATAATAAAAATAATAAATAAGTAAAAATCCATTTATAAAGAGTGTGTGTTTTTTTTTTCTTTGTTTGAATATTAACTGATATATGATGATAGTATAAAATTATTGTTTGTTTTATTTCATGATACATAAAAAGTTTTGTATACCTTATTTTATTTTGCTATGTTATCCCATATTTTGGAGTTGTCAACAGGTTGAACTATGTGTATATTGACAATTTAATTTGGAATACATCTGGGCAGATTTTAAGATTGAATTGAAAATTTGTATATCTCTATTTTTTTAAAAAAAAAAATCTAAAAGTCAAGGTTTAAATTAGTGTTGAACCATTTCTGTATTTCATAAATTTGGCTACTTTTTTTTCTTTTTTTTTTTTTTTTTTTTTTTTTTTATAAGAATATGAACAATGGTGACATTGGTGATAGATGGTGGTGAGTGTGACTCGACTAGCAATTTATGGTGATGCCTTTGGGGCGGTTGAGCAATGGCAGTGCTTGTCGATAATGAGTGGTGTAATTTACCATATATATCAATTAGGGCTGTTTTGGCAAAAAGAGTGGCAGTATTGGTGGGTGGTGTAGGCGGCAGGGTATTGTGGACGAATTGGGATCCTCCCCTTGAGCCCCCTCCTTCATTCTCTCCTTGCATGGGCCTTCGGGTCTACTTTGAGGCCCAGTTTTGATAATCCGAATCGTTCATATTTTTAGATTTATTCACTATATCATACCTGTAAAAAATCAAGTTGATCGAATATCATAAAGTATGTGTTCGGAAAACTGTTTATTAAAAAATAATTTGTAGTCCCAATTTTCTGAACGCATACTTTCTGATATCCGATCAACTTGATTTTTTACAGTTATACTATACTGAATAAATCTAAAAATATGAACGGTTCAGATTATCAAAACTGGGCCTCAAAGTGGACCCGAAGGCCCCTGCAAAGAGGGAATGAAGGAGGGGCCCCAAGGAGGGGATCTGGACTCATTGTGGACTTGTATGTAATGAGTGATTTTCCTTACATATGTTTCATGCAACAACGTAATGCATGGCCCATCAGCATCAATTTGTTACTTTAAAAATCATATACAAGTCCACAAATCAGTCACACAAAAGACCTGTCTCTGGTCAACCAAATACAGCCCAGCTCACCCACCCAGCCAACCTTCCCTCCATATTATTCAACGTTCAAAAACACCAACACAACACCCCTTCGTTCCATGACACTCTCACTCTAACCACCCAAATGCCTCTCTCTCTCTCCCCTCCGATTCTCACCGCCCTCCTCCTTCTCCTCCTCCTCTTCTCCACCCTCCTCATGCCGTCGTCCTCCGCCACCTTCCCCAACTGCCACCGCAATTTCACCTGCGGTTCCCTCCAAAACATCACCTACCCCTTCACCGGCGGCGAACGCCCCCACTATTGCGGCCCCCCCGAATTCCACCTCACTTGCCGCTACAACACTTACGCCGAGTTAACCACCGACTCGGTCACCTACCGAGTCCTCCAGATCAACCAAACCGAGCAAACCCTAGTCCTAGCCAGGTCCGACCTCTGGAACAACACTTGCCCACATAGATTGGTGAATTCCACCCTCAATTCGAGCGTTTTCAGCTACGGCGTTGGAAACGAAGAACTCACATTGTTCTATGGGTGCAATCCGCTTAAAAATTACACATCTCACAATCAATTTAGCTGCGCTGTGAGTGGCATCAATGTTACCGATGCCTTTTACTTGGTCGGTCCTGTTCCTCTTGATCCAGTACTCCAACTTATTACTGTTTGTCATGTTGACGTCACGGTTCCGGTGATTGGAGACGCCGCCGGGAGGCTCACCGGGGGCCAAGCAACGCTTGCAGAGACTTTGATGGAGGGTTTTAATGTCAATTATAGTAATCAATACGCAACCCAGTGTTTGAATTGCACTTATTTTGGTAACCAGTGTGGATTTGACTCCAATTTGAGCCTACCCATTTGCATTTGTGATGGTGATCTGCCCTGTCCTGTGCGTATAGTATTATTAGGTACTCAAAAGACTATTTCTTGAGGTCGTATTGCTAGTTTTTTGTTGTTGCTAGGTAGTACTAGTTGAAAAAGCTAGTTATCTTTGCAATTGCCTGACAAGTGCTTGTTAGAATGGGGTAAAGAGAAAATACTAGTCAAGGTTAGATTAGATTCAATTACTTTTCTAAATTTTGCACTTAGAAGTTAGTGTCCTTATAATAAATTTTGATCTGTGTGTTTACTTGTCTTGGGTTTGAATAAATTCTCAGAAAGAATTATCTTGTGCTATAATCTTTATATATGACATAGCTCTAGAAGTTCAGGCACTTGTTTTGACTGATTATGTTCTATAGATGTATCATCATGGCCTTTGATCCTTTGTTGAACCTTCACATATCAAAAAAGCATCAGTTTCACGCATTGCAAGGTTCTTTAGTTTCATGGTTTCAATTGCTTAATGTGTTTTTCGGAGAAATATTGAAGAACAGGAACCTGAAAATTGCTTTACTACTTTTCATTGGTAATAGATCCAGTTCTTCTCAACTTGTTGATGCTGGCGCCAAATGTTATCCTTTTTGCCACACTATCTTCTTTAAAATCAATCCCTCTTATCTTTCTTTCTTTGCCCTCTCTTTTTAGTGGAAAATTGTTAGGTTGCATTTTATGGCCTGACATATTAGTCTTATGGTCATTGCTAGAGAACTTATGTTTTGATGGTTCTCTTTCTTTCCTATTGCTTTTGTTTTGCTTGCTTTTTAATTGACAGGTTGTTGAGTTTTCTACTTCAATATAAAATACTAGTTTACAATCCAAGTGCATCTTTGGATTAGAAGGGTTGTAAGGAGAAGATTGGTTTCCCACATATCATAATTGGGAGAATATTAATTAGCCATGTATAATCATGTTATCTAATTTGATTTAATCTTTCATGTTTTAACCAATGTTTCTGCATCTCATGATTGTTTCAGGGAGCAATTCTTCAAAACCATCGTCAACAAACACAGGTATCACATCACACTATTTAAGAACAGACTTCATTTTTTTCCAACATGCATAACAGGTCAGAAAAGAAAATTTAACTCTTTTCTTCCATTTCCAGCCCTTATCATAATATCTGCTGTCCTAGCTGGTATTGGCCTAGGATGGGGTATCTTTGCATGTACACAACGGAAAAAACGCATTGCTGCTCAATCTTCCATATCTGCTGCTGCTAAAAGCAAAGATATTCCATCTCCTACTCTAAGCAAAGGCCTCATTACTCCTTCAGCTAGTTTCTCCCATAGCATTCCATCTTATCCCTTCCCAAGCATTGAGTTTGGAAAGGCAAGCACCTACTTCGGAGCTCAGGTCTTCAGCTACACTGAACTTGAAGAAGCCACCAACAATTTCGACCCTTCTAGAGAACTTGGAGATGGAGGCTTTGGCACCGTGTACTATGGTATATATAATTCCCTCAATCTCTCTCTTTTGGATTATGTAACTGCGTGTTCATTATTTCATTATACCTTTTTAAAACTTTCCTTTCAATTCTTCTATCAGGGAAGCTACAAGATGGTCGAGTAGTTGCAGTGAAGCGCCTTTATGAGAACAATTTCAAACGTGTGGAGCAATTCATGAATGAAGTAGAGATCCTTACTCGTTTAAGACATGAGAACCTTGTAGCACTGTACGGATGCACATCAAAACGAAGCCGAGAACTCCTCCTTGTTTATGAATACATCCCCAATGGAACAGTGGGCGATCATCTTCATGGAAAACGAGCAAATTCTGGTTTACTTTCTTGGCCTGTCCGATTGAGCATTGCCACAGAGACAGCTGTTGCTCTTGCCTACCTCCATGCATCAGATATCATACATCGCGATGTGAAAACCAACAACATCCTCCTAGACAACAATTTCCGGGTAAAAGTGGCTGATTTTGGGCTGTCTCGATTGTTTCCCAACAATGTCACCCATGTGTCCACTGCCCCACAAGGTACACCGGGCTATGTTGATCCTGAATACTACCAGTGCTACCAACTTACTGAGAAGAGTGACGTTTATAGCTTTGGGGTGGTCTTGATTGAGCTCATCTCATCAAAACAAGCCGTTGACACAAATAGGAGCAGGCAGGATATTAATTTGTCTAATATGGCTATGAAAAAAATTCAAAATCGTGCATTGCATGAGTTGGTTGATCCATCTCTTGGGTTTGAAACAAACAGTTCGGTGAGGAGGATGACCACATTGGTGGCGGAGCTAGCTTTTCAATGCTTGCAAACAGATAGGGAAATGAGGCCTTCCATGCAAGAAGTACTGGAGGCTTTGAGAAAAATTCGGAATGAAGATTTGAATGTACAAAAAGCAGAGGTAGTAGACATTTTGAAAGGGAATTTTCCACTGATGTCGCCTGATTTGGAGGCAGCTGAGAAATGGGCTAGCAACTCTACTACACCTAGTTCCAGTGGTTGAGTTTTCCTTTTCATGTCACTGAGTGGGTTACATTTCGCTTTCTTTTCATCTGTGTGCTTCTTTTTTTCTTTTGTTTGTAGAAGATATAGATGTGAGACTTTATCTATCAAATGATGCAAGTTTAAAAGGAATGTACATAGTAAATGAAAGCTGTCCACAACCAAATAGTGTTCATATCTGTTGGATGTATTTTTCATGAGATTTTTGTTATTCCTTTTTTTTTTTTCTTTTAAGTTGTTGTTCTCATTTTGTTTCTATGCAGTGTAGCCTTGTCTTCATCCATATCATACCAACGTACAACTGGATTCTATAAGACTGTTTAGATCATAAATTTTGATAGCGATTTAAAAAAAAAAATTACTCAAATTCATGATCCAACAGTTTTACTCGATAAAAAAACATGTCTCTGCTAACAAAATTCCAGGACATGATCTTCAAATGAATTTTTCTTCTTCATTTCTTCTTAATAAATCTTCAATTATTTCTTCACATGCTAATTTGGTCTTGTTCAACAACCCATGCGTTTTGACGAATGTTGCTAATTGATCAGCAATTAGCCCTTGTTCCATTGCCAAAATCCTGCAATTTTTTCAAATAATAAAAATTATTATATAAAAATATATTGCTGGTTTGAAAACAAAAGACAAATGCATAACCAAGTGTTTGATTACAAGTGATGAGCAAATATGGTCACAAAAGATAAAAAGGGAAATGTCATTTCCAATCTCTTGTCTGTAAATATACTTTAAAAAATTTCTTGTGTCTATTAGAAATCACAACATTTATAATTTTAGATAGCTAATGATCTACGAATAGCATTTATATACGAAATTTACATACATAACTATGTAATCTTTTATGATTTTTTCCTCTCAAGAAAAATATTATAATTTTATCAATATTACCATTACATCATTCTGATTGAATTTTTTTTATATAAAAATTATTTTTCAATTTTAAACGGTAAAAACAGCTTTTTAAAAATAATATTTTAAAAAAAAAATTAAGACCATCTCTAACCCTTATACTTTTACTCGAATGGAGTAGAAATTTAAGTAAAAAAAATTCACTTCATAAAAAGCAGTTATATGAATAAATTCAAACTTGGACAAAATTACTTAGCCTTTGTTTGTCATCCCCTAAAAAAGTTAAAAGGCCAAAAAGTCACTATCCTATTTAAATCACATCATCTTATTTAAGTCATATCACCTCTCTACCACATCACTTCAAACCCAACTCATATCCAATCCATATTTCATAAAAAGTCAAAAAGTATATTTATTTAGAACATTCCAAACAACCCTTTAATGTCAAGTTTGAGGGCTGTTTTGGCCACCAGACAAAAGAGTCAAAGTCAATTTTTAATTCATTTTAAGTCATAGCACCGCTTATCAGTGGCGGAGGAAGTGAAGACCTAGGGGCCTTACGTGCCCCCCTAGATTTTGGGATATTTTTTTCTTTTTCTTTTTCTTTTTTTTTTTTTAAATTTTGCAAACATAAAGAAAATATTTTAAATAAAAAAAATTACAAAAAATATTATTAGAGTATAAGTAATAATGGTTATTTTAAAAATTAAAAATTATGAGAACAATAATGATTATTTTAATTGAAAATGCAAAGACTACTATAAACTATATTATCCATGAAATTTTTTAAATGTAACGGTGATGTCATTATTATTGACATGCAAGTATAAGTAACCTCACTATAAAGATATGAAATTTATTTGATTGTTAGTTACATTTGACATGTAAGGTTCATTCTCTATGTGTTTATGTACTATTAGTTAGTGATATCACATATCAATGATGACGTGATATTACCATTGTATTGAACTTTTAATCAAATTTTGTACAAAAAAAATTTATCATTACATAATTTATTTTAAGACTTATATCCATATATTTTTTTGTATTGTCCATGATACACTAGTTACAAATAATATTATTTTTTTTATATTTCTCGAAATCAATAGTAAAAACTTGCGTAAAATATTTTTATAAAAAATTGTGATATTGAAATTAATAAATGTCCCTTCTAATTTAATTTTCTGGCTCCGTCACTGCCTCTTACGTGAAACAGTGAAAAAAATTAATTTTTAAAGTCATTAAAAAAATAACGGCTATAATTCGTCATTTCTTACGAAAATCAGATAAAGAACAAGGGCTGTGTTGGAAAAATGGGATAGTTTGTGTGTAGCTAAGATGGAGGGAGGCCTTGGCTTTAAAGATTTGGGTTCTTTCAATCAAGCATTATTAGCAAAACAAGCTTGGTGGTTAATTTCTAATCTGACATCTTTGTTTGCTAAAGTACTTTTAGGTAAATATAGTTTTTGTAATAATTTTCTTCAAGTTGGGGGGAAATAGGATAGCGTCATGGGCAGTGGCGGAGGGACTGAAGGCCCAGGGAGGTCATGTGTCGCTCTTGGATTTTGGGAATTTTTTTTTTTTTAAATTTTGCAAACATAAAGAAAATATTTTAAATAAAAAAAATTACAAAAAATATTATTAGAGTATAAGTAATAATGGTTATTTTAAAAATTAAAAATTATGAGAACAATAATGATTATTTTAATTGAAAATGCAAAGACTACTATAAACTATATTATCCATGAAATTTTTTAAATGTAACGGTGATGTCATTATTATTGACATGCAAGTATAAGTAACCTCACTATAAAGATATGAAATTTATTTGATTGTTAGTTACATTTGACATGTAAGGTTCATTCTCTATGTGTTTATGTACTATTAGTTAGTGATATCACATATCAATGATGACGTGATATTACCATTGTATTGAACTTTTAATCAAATTTTGTACAAAAAAAATTTATCATTACATAATTTATTTTAAGACTTATATCCATATATTTTTTTGTATTGTCCATGATACACTAGTTACAAATAACATTATTTTTTTTATATTTCTCGAAATCAATAGTAAAAACTTGCGTAAAATATTTTTATAAAAAATTTTGATATTGAAATTAATAAATGTCCCTTCTAATTTAATTTTTTGGCTCCGTCACTGCCTCTTATGTGAAATAGTAAAAAAAATAAATAAAATAAAAAAATTAATTTTTAACCATTTTCTCAAAATAATTAGGTTCTCTTGTTAGAATAATTGGGGTTAGTGAGAACAAGTTCACGTAAAAGTGCCCAAGAGTCAAATTTAGATTGGATAAAAATTAAAATTAAAAAAAATGGACATCCACTTTTTAGTAAAATTAATTTGATATAAATTGAAGCAAATGAGTGAAAGGACTACGCCAAAATAACAAAATTACTAAAACGTTAGTTGACAAAGTGGTTAGGTGTTATTAACCACGATAAAGGTTTAACTAAAAAATATATATATATATATATTTTTAAATAAAAAAATAAAAAACTAAACATAAAATTAAACATAGATCTTTTCTTTTAAAAGTGAATCCCACTAAAAAAAACTTATAAATTTTCTATTCATGTTTTTTTTTGTTTTTTGGTCCAATTTTACATGTGGTTTATATATTCTTAATATAGTACTAATAAAGATAATTTCCGACTGAATTAAGAAAAAAATTTAATTTAAATTTGAACAACTCAAAATTGTTATATTTCATGATACAAGTAAAAGTGGGAGCATGGATTGGGTGGCTAACCCACCTGCAACTCTTGCTGCTCTTATTAGTGCTGATGTACGTCCTTCTCTTTGTTGATTCAGTAAATACCCATCGTTCAAAAAAACAAAAAAATGGGACACACTCTCACTAGTTACTTTTTCATCCATGAAGATACCATTATTTTAAATTATTCCAATTTGTTTTTTACTACCTAAATTAGTCCAATTTAAATATAATTTTTTCAAGATTTAATATTAATATTCAATAGGTGTCCACTTGATATTGTGTCGTCAACATGCCGCAACAAATTCCAACAATTCGGCACGAAATCCTCATCCAAATTAAAAATAAAATTAAAATAACAGAGTAATGCACTAGTGAGGCCAACACAACCCAAAAAACAAAAAAGAGAGAGAGAATCACACTTCAGTGTATTTTTAAAAAAAAAAAAATTAATTAATGACATACAATTTGAAAATTAAATATATTTTATTCTATTACAACTTTATTAAAAATGTAAATTTATTTTGCTACTATTCAAGAAAATATATATTAAAATATGGTGGGCCCCATTATGGATTGATTTAGGTGCCCGACATGTTATAATCCTGTTTGGTAGAGTTGTGGAAAGGTGTTTATAAGTTATGCTTAAACAGCTTATACCTTATAACTATGAACATAAGTTGATTTCTGACTTATAAATTAAGCATCTCCTGTCCCACTCAAAGAATAAGTTAGTAATTTCTGACTTTCAAAAAGCTATAAGATATAAGTTAAATCAAACACATCAAATAATTTAAATTATGTTAAAAGTTAAAATAAACAGTTTTTAAACTACACCAGACAGGAGCTATGTGGCATTGACTTTTAAGCACAATGACGACAACGTTTAATGGATTTTAATTTTTAATTTTAATTTTTAATTTTAATTAATTAAAGAAAGTAAACATGACTCACCCATTAAGTGTGGAAGCAATATTTGACTCCGAAAATTGGTCAGTGCTTCTGAGGCCCAAACTTTCACACAGCCTGTAATGCTTCTGCAAATAGTACTTCTGATGTTGATTCTCCGCAACGAAGAAGAATAAATCACCACCTTCTGATGGGATGATCTTCGTCACAATCCTCCTGTTCAGCTTCATCTGCCGTCTGATCTTTGACTCCTGTGCATGCCTCTTCTCCTCCTCTGTCTTGTAGAAGATCACTGACCTCTGATGTGTACTTATCCCAAAATTCTGCATACCAACCAAACATGAGATCAGACTAGGACATGACGATAACCAATTAATTGTATTTTCTGTATTAATTGGGGGCGTTTGTCCACTTTCAATTTTAATTAGAAAATTAAAAATTATTATAACTCGTGGTATTATTTTTTTTAATTTTTTAAATATTTTTCATAAAAAATTAAAAAAATATTTAAATAGTTTGTTTTCACATGATACGAAATGGATGAAATATGTTGGACAATTTTTACTGTATTAAATGTGTATTCAACAACAAATAGAACACACAAAAAATAAATTAAAAGAAAGAGATTCCAAAATCTGTTTAGTTACAGAAGCCAAAAAGAAAATGGAAAAAGAGAAGGAAAGAAGAAAATAAAATACTTACAGAAAATAATTTCTTAAAGTGATCAAATTCAGTGTTTAACACCATCTCCTTAGGACAGATTCGTCCTCTCTAATGTGCTCACAGAATATAGATGTCTACCTCCCATGATAAAATGATCTATAGCAAATAGTAGTGGCACTACAAACTATTCGCACAACGAACAAACTTTGTGTTTATACACTTTCTCACTTGAAAAATTAATGCAGCAAAATGTAGAGAGCAATAGCAGAGACAAGAACGAAATTTCTACATGCAAAATCCAAATGAGGGACTGCTTATTTATAGATGAAATAGTGGCTGTTCGGATAGGTACAAACCTGTTTGGTTTTGAATTGAACAGATAAAAACCTGTTTGGATTTAACTTAAACATATAGGAACCTATTTGGTTTGACCTAAACAGATGTAAGTCTGTTCAGACAAATATGGAACTTGTACAAAAAAGTTTGAAGAGGTGCAAGCGAAAATTTGAATTTTTTCAATCGAAATTTGAAATTAAAACTGGACAGAATTTATTTTCCAAACAACAAATAAAAATAAATTCAAATGTAATGTTTTTGGCCCAAAAATATAAGTGTTCGGTTAAACAAGCCCAACACAACCTCACACCACACACTCGTGCCCAACCCTAGCTCAGACGGTGGCACCTGTTTGTTTTTGGATCTAATGGATCTAACTCACTTTGCCCATAATCTCCTCTCTACAAAACTTGAGTGGGGGGTTTATCCCAAGTTCTAAACCCAAATCTTATAAACCCACACCAAGTTTGCCCACCAAAACAATGTGGGACAAATCTTAACCCATTTTTTATGGAAACTTCACCAACATACCATTTTCATGGAGTTCACTTAAGTTTCAATTTTTCATTCACCCGATAATAATTTTAAGCAACCAAATATATGTCGTGAATCTTTACGCGGCGAAAAACGTGTTTCCACATGAACCCGCCAACTTTGGAGCATAAGTCCTACCAACAAATTAGACCAAAATTTAGAAAAAATCTATTTTTTCCCAAACCATTTCTTACAAATGTTTGTAAAAAAATCCTGTTGGTAGTAATATAATAGTACTCTCCTTTGATTAAAAACAAGAAAAAAAAAAAAAAAAAAATTGCTTGTGAATCATTTTGGAATGATGAATATAATAAAACAGGAGAGGAAATTACAAGAAAGTCCTTGTTGGTGGGATCATGGGTTTCCCAGAATGCGTCACAGAGAGATCTGTAAGATGTTTTCCTTTTATCGTATGTGACTTTCACTGCTTCAGTGTGCCCTGTTCTTCCTTCACGCACCTGTGTGAAAATACATACATACATATAGCATTTAAAATTTCTTTTGACAGGTAATTAATTTCTGTAGTCGTCTTCGGAGACGCTGATAATAGAGATATATACCTCTCTGTATGTAGGTTTTCTGAGGGTTCCTCCGCAATAACCTGTAACAGTTTTGACAACTCCGTCGACACGTCCATATGCAGCTTCAAGACCCCAGAAACTCTCTGCAATTAAATGGAACTGCTTTCAGTACTCCAAACTACAATTAATCATTATGTACGCATATGTGTGTGTGTGTGTGTGTGAGAGAGAGAGAGAGAGAGAGAGAGAGAGAGAGACCTCCTGCAAACACTGCCTGAGAGAGGAACTCCGAAGGAACATTAGAAGTTGTCGTTGATGGATCATCTTGATATTGAGATTTGGGTTGCTGTGAAAGTATTTTATACATTTTTTTAATGATATATCAAAACTGAAATATATTGGGATCACTAATATATGATGATGACCATAAATTAGTTACTCCCTCCGTCCCAAAATATTAGTCCCTTATTCCATTTTTCATTGTCCCAAAATATTAGTCCCTCTTCAAAAATCAAGTACAAAAATAATATAAATTTCCTATTTTACCCTTCTTTTAAATTAATAAACAACATAAAAAGTACAATTATGCATTGATATTCCCAAAAAATGTACTATCAAAAGGATAATTTTGGAAAATCAACTTTTTTCAAATACAATAATTGTACTACTAAAAAAAGTTGGATTCCCCAAAAGGGACTATTATTTTGGGACGGAGGGAGTATGATTTGGGTTGAATTTGATTTGGCTTTTCTTTCTCGTCACTCTTCTGCACGCACAATATATAGTAAAAAAAATCATATAATATAAAACAAAAACCAATTTGAATGGAAAAGAATGAAAAGGAGGTACGCGTGTGAAAACGCTTGGCCTTCATTAGCCGTGTTGGCTTTGCGGGGAGTCAAAATCTACAATTTATAATGTGAACAATTTCTGCTTTTTGTGGTCTTTTTCCATTTTTTCTTCTATTCACACTTTTTTATTTGAAAAATAGTTTGCAAACATAAATTCTATATAAAAAATAAATAAATAAATAATTAAAAAAAAAATTGTCATAGAGATGTGACAGTAATATTTTTTAGGACAAATTATACTAACAGTCCCTATAATTTAGAGTTTGTGTCACTTTGGTCCCTGACTTTTCAATTGTGACACATTTGACTCTGAATTTTGAATCTTGTTCCAAATAAAGACAATTTAAGATATCATTGCTTAATTTCAAGGGTAAAATTGTCAATTTAATAAAATATAAACTAATTTAACAAAAATAAATGTCAAAAAAATATTTTTTAATTTTTAAAAATTATTTCTACCCACCAAAAATAAAATTATGTAAAATTGATAAAAATTACATAATTAATTTTATATGATCATCATTCATACAAATAATAAAAATTAATTTGGTAAAATAAATAAATAAATATCTAAAAGATTTATCAATTTTATATAATTTTATCTTTAGTGAGTAGAAATAATTTTTAAAAATTTAAAAATATTTTTTTGACATTTATTTTTGTCAAATTAATTTATATTTTATCAAATTGACGGTTTTGCCCTTGAAAAATTCAAACAGTGTGTTTGGTTTGAGTTTTCTGAATTAAGTTTTTTCAAAATTGACTTTTTGATTTTTGTATTTTTTTATTTTTAGTGAATATTTTTTAAATTTTAAGCATTTTTTTTACTTAAGATGTATCTAAAAAGTAAAAAATTTGTGAAAAGATATTTTAAAAAATTAATAAATACATAAAAATATAAAAAAAATATACTTAATTCTTATATTTTTTTTATATTTTTGGTATTTAGTGAATTTTTAAAAGATTTTTTTTACAATTTTTTTACTTTTTAGGTGTATTTATGTTAGGTGTGTCTAAAAAGTAAAAAAATTGTTTAAAATATAAAAAAAATTTCTTAAAAAAAAAATACGAAAAATAAAAAAGTAGAATTTTTTGAAAAGTGTTTTTTGAAAAAATTGTCCTTATTTGAAACAAGATTTAAAATTCATGGTCAAATATGTTACAATTGAACAGTCATGGACCAAAGTGACACAAATCCTAAACTATAGGGACCGTTGGTGTAATTCCCCCTATTTTTTATACCACTAAGGAGTCATCCTAATTGGTAAGAGAATATGCTCCTCTCCTTATTGATCAGGATTTGAATCCCTTACTATTCAAGTAGAAGTCGGACGGTTTAGGTGGATCAGCTAACTTCTCCCAATTTAACTTATAAAGGTGAATCTTAAGGGTCCTGCTTTGAGGGTATTCTAGTATAAAAAAAATAAAATAAAATAAATAAAATTATAATAATAAGCAACTCTTATGAATCTTTAATTTAAAATGTCTGAATACAAATTTATTACATCATTGTTTATGAATTTTATGAATAATTTTGTAATGCATAAATAAAATTATCATAACATTACTATTATTACTATTTTTTACAAGTCTTTTCGGATGATATCCCTATTTTATATATATATATATATATATATCATAAACTATATGTCATGACTTGCCCACTGAACCGTGGTGCTGGAAAAAATAAAATAATAAAAAAAAAAAGCCATAGAGACGCTTATGTCTTGAGAAAAAGTATTATCTTGAAATTTAGGACTAGTTTGACATATATTAAATAAGTCAAAAAGTAACTATCTTATTTAAATCACATCATCTTATTTAAATCACATCATCTCTCTAACACATCATATCAAACCCAACCCAAACCCAATCTAAACCCACCAATAAATTAAAAAATACACTTTTTTAGGACATCCCAAACCAACCCTTATGACACTGTCTCAGCTGATCCTTATGGGCATGGTGGTCTCTTTGGAAAATCAGAAGTAGTGAGTTGCAAACAGCCAAACACTACACAGATTCAAATTCTACACACGCAAACCTTCCACAAGATACAGAATTAATTATTTAAACACAGAAGGAAAAAAAATATCAATAATCGATTCATCAAATCAATTTTGAAGAAGAAAGTCAAAGGGGGCTTCTTTTTTTTTTTTAAATAAAGCAGAAGTAAAAATTGATTATATTTTCATCTCTGCACTTAAAAATGATGAGGAATAACATTTTGACAATATTAGATCCTACTATATATATATATATATATATATACTAGGATATGTCCGTGCTTAAAGATATGGTGTAAATAATATTAGGATTAAAATATAATTGTAATCCTAATACTATTTAAATTTTTTTTTTAATTTGATAAAATCATAAATTTATTATAAAATTTTAGAGTTCTCACAAAAACTTGTTTTTGTTTATATAATAAATAGTTAGATAGATAGATCTTGTCACGACCCGCTCCCTGTACCTAAGGGTTAAGTATCGTGATGGCCAGTAATTGAAGTTACATACGGCCAATTCTTAAACAAATTAATAAACGCAAGCGGAAGAAATATTTAAGTAAGGGTACCAAAATAATCATTGGAGCCTCTATTTTTATTACAAAATATATTGACCAAAAAGGCCGATATTTACATATAAAAATATCATAAAAGTGTTGTGTGTGTCTAATCCGGAGCCCCGCATCTAAGATTGTTCAAAAGCTATTTCTGACTTGCATTGTTTCCTGAAAATTGGTAAACAACTATAAACACATGACAGAGTGAGAAATATTATACTAAGAGTATAAAAGACACGAAATAACCATGCGACAATGCTACGTAGCTCAAATTTTGTGGCTCAAAAGTGGCTCAAATGGCTAAAACGACGTCGTTTTGAGTACAGAACAACATAAAAATGGCCAAAACGACGTCGTTTTGGCCATTTGAGCCACTTTTGAGCCACAAAATTTGAGCTACGAGACATTTTCCATAACCATGGATAGTTAGTTAGGCCAAAATATTTACATAACCCAATTTGGTAAGTAAATTATTGGTAAGCAAATAATTTAAGTAGCAGAAACTAAAATACAGATATTATGTCAGTAAATGACCATAACCACGGTACAGAACAGAACAGAGCAGAGGTCACAGAAGTGACAGTCACAACAGAGGTACGGATTCAAGAGGTGGCTCGTACGGATTCTAGAGGTGGCTCCCACAATAGTGTAGCACTTAGCTCCGCACAACACTTTGGTCCGCACAGAACAGAGGTACGGATTCAAGAGGTGACTCATATGGATTCTAGAAGTGGCTCCCACAATAGTATAGCACTTAACTCCGCACAGAATAGAGGCCAATGGATCAAAGGGCCACAAAGTAACCAAACAGAGACCAATAGTTATTTAAGTCCCCCAAGGCGTGGGACTCCCGTGGTGGTACTTATAAAACATAATTGTATATAAGATCATAACCAAATATTCTTTAAAAGTAAAACAAATATATTGATGAGTTTCCTTTTAAACAAATAAGGTTCAGAAATAAAATCACGTAACTGAAATCTTTATAAAATATAACTTTTATTAAAAACATAACTTATATAAAACAGTTTTTGATAAGTTAAAACATACGTAAAATATATTTTAATAATTCAAGATATAATATAACTTATCTTAATTTTAATACCTTATGCTTCCTTTCTACAGTTACAGACCTTCTCAACTTCCACTATTTTTTTCCGTCTTTCCTTTCTTCCTTCTCCTTTCCTTTCTTTTCTTCTTTCTTTTCTTTCTTTTCCTTTTTTTTCTTCTTTCTGTTTTCTCTCTAGGCGTGACACGCCTCCCTATTTATAGGAGAATAGGGCGCTACGTGACAGATTTCAATAATAATTATAAAGATTTAATCTTATCTTTAATAGGTATTTAAGATAATTATCTTTTGACCCAATATTTTAATATGATTATATAAATTAATTAATTCTTAATTAAATTATACTTTATCATATATTAACAGAAAATTAATTATTTATTTTATTACCATACGTATTATTATTATTATTATTATTTATGTATATTATTATTTATATTTTGACCCCTAAACTTTTAATAATTATATTATTTTACAAAATTACACATAATATATAATAAATTATATATTTTCCGAACTGAGATCAAATAATATTAGTATAAATTCTACAGAATAAGCTACGCACTCTAATATATATATATATATATATATATTAGATGATTAATCTGATAGAAAATAGTACCTCAAAAAAAAATTACCAAAAATAATTCACTGTCTAATTGTCAAAATTTGATTTGGGCCAAAATAAGAAATAAGGAGCGACTTTAAAAACTTTTCACTCATTTTGTTCACGATAAAAATAAATAAAAATGATAACACAATGACTAAATTATATGCAATAATTGAAAATTTTGAGATAAACTTTTCATTGACAGGAAATAGTTTCAAAATTAGTATCTTTATAATTTGAACCCAATTTTAAAAGAATCAAAATAATATTTTTTTTTGAATACTGAACTGAAAATTATATGTATTTAATTATATTATAATTTTGGTGGGTGCTTGAGTCCAACATCCTTCTTTTCTTATCCTTCTTTTACTATAACAAATATAAATTATATCTAATATCCTTCACAAATTAGGCACACTAAAAAAAAAAATTATTTTATATATATATATATATATAATCATATAAAATTATAATATAATTAAATCGACGAACAAAATATAATAATTCGGTACTAATTACCCGTTATCTCAGTTCTTAAATGTGCGCGTATCCTATGCTCCAATGATGAATTTTTTTTTTTATAAACCATTGCTCTGATACCATTTTTCACGACTCGCTCCCCGTACCCAAGGGGTTAAGTATCGTGATGGCCAGTAATTGAAATTACATACGGCCAATTC